TTAAGAATAATAAAGCAATAGATGGCCATACAAGACTAAAACTTAGGATCTTGCAAATAACAATCTGCAATTATTCCTTTCCCTCCAGACAAAAGGTAGAAAAGACAGGGAGATTTCATGATCTCTCAAACTTCCTCTTTCGGCTATGTCTTCAAGAGGGGCAGTGATTAATAGTTATATGTATTTATATGTAAGGATGCAGGTATGTACATATTTATGTATATATCATGTCTATAGGTGCGTTATGTATGCATACTGTACACTTTTGAGAGCAGGCGACAGAATTTCATTTTTAAGGTAGGCCAGTGTGCCCAGAGTTAAAAAAAAAAAAATGACAATAAATATCTTATCTATTCTGTTGGGATCCGGAAGTGTCTTTGGAGCGTGCATCTCTTCCCCTTTGCGCTCTCTTTCCCTTTCTTTCGTTTAGGGGCGGGGATACTCCTTGGGTCCGCTCTGCCCCGTCGCTCTATGGTTCTCCTCCTGGAGGGGCGGGGCGGGGCAGGGCAGGAGTCCCTCTGCCGTCCGGAGACCCTGCGAGGTAAGTTCGCGTCTCGGTTGCTGCAGGACTGAAACGCAGGAGGAGAAAAGAAATAGGGAAGAGTGAGGAGGGGGCTCCAGAACTTTCAGGGTTTCTGGAGGGGTCTTTTACCGGATTTCATTGAGAGGGAGCCTCAGAAGCTCAAGGAAGAGTGTTTCTGAACATGTCCAGAGTGCGTTTGCTCTGCATAGGGTCTTGGTGATGGAATCGGCATGAAAAGCATTTGCAAGGAATAAAGCAATTTCTTCTCCAAGAGGATCTTAGGGACCGTAGTTCTATTTTTATTATTTTTTTGCGGTTGTTTTCTTTTTTTCCCCTTTCATCTCCCTCGCCTGCTATTCAATCCTAAGTCGCCCTCTTTTCAATATTTTGCTCCCATGTCCTTTGACCCAGAATGGGAGGCTAAGCGGTCCTGTCTCCTCTTGTTTAAGTATCCCATAATAGCCAGCCCCTATTAAGTCTGAGCTGTATTGGGCTTTGGGGCAAGTTGTTTGTTCCATCCTGCCAAATTCTTACCGGGAATGACTTGGGTGAAGTCCTGCTTCTAAACCTCTAAAGAAGCTGCTTTGTTGTTGTTGTTGTTGTTAGTTGCGAAGTTGTGTCTGACCCATCACACCCCCATGGACAACGTTCCTCCAGGTCTTCCTGTCCTCTACCATCTTCTGGAGCCCCTTTAAGCTCACGCCTGCTGCTTCAGGGACTCCATCCAGCCACCTCATTCTCTGTCGTCCCTTTCTTCTCTTGCCCTCCATCTTTCCTAGCATCAGGCTCTTCTCCAGTGAGTCCTTCCTTCTCATTAGGTGGCCAAAGTATTTGAGTTTCAACTTCAGGATCTGGCCTGTTTTATTTCAGAATGTCTAGCTTGTTGTTGTTGTTAATTGCGAAGTCGTGTCCGACCCATCGCGACCCCATGGACAACGTCCCTCCAGTTCTTCCTGTCCTCTACCATCTTCTGGAGTCCATAATGTCTAGCTAGGAGCTGCAAATATATTGGTGCTCCCTAGATGGCAGGAAAGAGTTCAAATTTCTCAGCCTCCCTTTGGTGCCATCTAGTGGTTAGTGGCATTCATGCAGCCCAAATCTCCTAACCTCCCCCCCCCCGCATATCTTGAAGGGCATCTGTACAAATAGTGCTCAACTGAACGACCACATTTGGGATCAGATCTTCCATTGCTAAGCGATGAGTTTGTTAGACGCGTTAGATTTTATCCCCTTTTTTAAACCACGGTCATTAAGTGAATCACTCAGTTGTTAAGCAAATCCAGCTCCCCCCATTGACTTTGCTGGCCAGAAGCATCCTGAGAAAGATGGACATGGCGATCACCTGAGCTGGGATGCTGCAACCATCCGGTTGCCAAGCACTGAATTTTGATCATGTGACCCACAGGGATGCTGTGATCGTTGTAAGTGCAAGTCCCTTTTTTTCAACACCGCTATACCTAGATTCCTTCTATCTCCGGTGTTCCTGCCCACAGATCAGGAAGATAACTTTATCAAAATACCTGGATGGTGATCTCTGCTGAGAGGTGAGCTGGGGATGGGATGGAACTGACCAGGGATAGGGACAAAAACATTTCAGTTTAGAGAGAGAGAGAGAAAGAGAGAGAGAGAGAGAGAGAGAGAGAGAGAGAGAGAGAGAGAGAGAGAGAGAGAGAGCAAAGGGGAAATATAACCTCTTAACACAGTGGTTCTCAACCTTTTTAATGCCGCGACCCCCAACCGGTCGTAAGTCGAGGACTACTCAACCGGTCGTAAGTTGAGGACTACTCAACTGGTGCAGCACCATTTGCAGAATGGGACTTTTGGCGGGCTCAGCAGGGCAGAGACAGCCTGGACAATTCCTATTGGCTTTGGAAAGCCAATAGAATTAGACTCTATTCAAGAGAGTCTGTTCTATTGGCTTTCAAAAGCCAATAGAATAAAAGGGAGTAGCACAGCTAAGGAAAAGGGGGGAAAAAATGGCGGACTGCGTTGTTTGGTGACCCCCGTGAAATGGTCGTTCAACCCCAAATGGGGTCCCGACCCACAGGTTGAGAACCACTGCCTTAACAGATACTGAGTCAACTGAGTATCAACAGTTGAGAGTTTTTGGCAGTGCCATTTCTTCAAACTTTTATGATCTGCTGCTTTCCGGATGTGCTGGGAGTTTAATTGTCATAATTGCCAGTCAAATCTAACTGGAGTTGAAAATGACTACGTGGCATCTAAACCATCAATTACTGGTCAGCCTGAGCTTTGCTGATGGGGCATTTCAGATGTTTAATGCTGTTAGAGGTAACCAGCGTTAGTTTATGTTCCATTTGTTAGTTCAGAGGTCTCCAAACGTGGCCCTTTTATGACTTGTGGACTTGAACTCCCAGAATTGAACTCCCAAATGTCTTGAACTACAACTGCCATAGACCCCCCATCTAACACATCTAATGGGTGTGGTTGATGGATGTTGTTGCTTTGCAACCCAGATTGTTTATGATCCTGAGTTGGTCAGTTGTAGGATGTTTTGCTGGGAGAAAATTGAAGTTTGGGATCTGCTCTGTTGGGGCACAGTGATGTTTGTGCGAAGGAATCTTTTACCACACAACCCGAATTGTTCTCTGCTTGTTTTCCTGAATCCCTAGGAATTACTCTCTCTTTTGACATCTCTTGATGCAATCTGAGCCTGGCCTGATTTTTCCCAACTGAGGTTTGTTCTAATGAATCATTTTCAAATGTTCAGGGACTCGGATGAAAACACGGGGAGAAGGTTAAGTAACCTAATATCTCAATTTCTCTCCATTATTGCTGCCTGGATAAACATCGTATGTGTGTGTGCGTTAGAGCTATATGCTTATTTTAGTCTCTGGGAAGGTAAGCCAATAAGTGCTTTTGGCCAAAAAAAGGGACTAAGTGTTCTTTATTGTTCAGAGTAGCCTTTTAATGCAAGATGATAAGGGGTCTGGAGGCTAAACCGTGTAATGAACGGGGAACTCGGTATGTCAGGTCTAGTGAAGAAAAGGACTAGGGGTGATATGATAGGAGTCTTCCAATACTTGAGGGGCTGTCACAGAGAAGAAGGGGTGCAGGAGAAGAAGTAACAGAGGAAAGCTTATCAAGGAGAAGATATAAGGAACGGTTGCTAGAATTGGGTATGTCTAGTTTAACGAAGAAAAGGACAAGGGGGGACATGATAGCAGTATTCCAATATCTCAGGGGCTGCCATAAAGAAGAGGGAATCAAGCTATTTTCCAAAGTGCCTGAAGGCAGGACAAGAAGCAACTAACCAAGGAGAGAAGCAACCTAGAACTAAGGAGAAACTTCCTGACAGTGAGAACAATTAATCAGTGGAACAGCCTGCCTCCAGAAGCGGTGAATGCTCCAACACTGGAAGTCTTTAAGAAGAGACTGGATAGCCATTTGTCCAAAATGGTGTAGGGTTTTCTGCCTGAGCAGGGGGTTGGACCAGATGACCTCCAAGGTCCCTTCCAACTTTATTATTATTATTAATCCTCTGCTTGAGCAGGGGACCCTATAGCTTCACAATGCTTTTCATCCCTCTCTAAGCGGTTTACAGAGTCAGCCTCTTGCCCCCAACAATCTGAGTTCTCATTTTACCCACTTCAGAAGGATAGAAGGCTAAGTCAACCTTGAGTCGGTCAGGATCGAACTGCTGGCAGCCGGCAGAGTCAGCCTGCAATACAGCATTCCCACCACTGTGCCATCACGCTTCTTAGCTTTGTTGTTCCTCAGTTTACAACCATTTGGCAGTCATTCAAAGTTACATCAGCACTGAAAAAAAGGGACTTACAAGCAGTCCTCGCACTTACGACCCTTGCAGAATTCTCACTGCACATGAGCAAAATTCAAGGGTTTAGGCAACCGGCATATATTTACAATGGTTGAAGCGTCCTGGGGTCATCTGTGACCACCATCGGCGACCTTCCCTAAACAACTGTCAACAAATAAAGTTTGGGGTGGGGGGTGGAGAAGCTAGATTAGCTTAACAACCATGGGATTCACCTAACAGATGCAGTGATTCGTTTAATAACCATGGCCCAAAAAGGTCGTAAACTGGGGCACGACTCACCTGGCTTAGCTGTGGAAATGGTGATCCTAATTGTGGTCGTAAGTCGAGGATTACCTGGTATTTGCAATTAGGGGTCCAATGTTTCCGCTGCTGTTGTTTCATACAGTACTTCCCTTCCAGAAGAGGGTCTGGAGCAAGGTGCCAAATAAATAAATGCCATCAACCCTCTGGCAATAATAGAGCTTTAAAAACAACATTTCATTTTAAAAGCAAACCAGTTCTGCCAGAAAGAACCATTTCTGCAAATCTAATAAACCAAGGTTTGTTTTTTCTTACAAACCAGACAGAGGCGTATTAGTTGCCCAGGGTTATGTGTGATAAATAGGCTATTTCTGGGGAGAGCAAAATTTAGGCTTACAAAACTCAACCTTTCCCCCCCCCCTCCCCGCTTTAATTTGCTTCCTCTGGGAATCTTAATCAGAAGGAAGGAACATTCTCCTTGAATTTCGACAACAAAAAGACTTCCCAGCAGATCCCAGAATTCATTCATTCAGGACATTTGAGGGAGCTAGAATATTTTTCGAGCGCCTACGTCTGTCTCTGTGTGCCTCTCTCTCTCTCTCTCTGTCTGGGCCCAAAGCAAACAGCTGCTTTTCCAGAGGGCTGGAAATTAACGTGGCTTTTCTTTCTCATTGGAAGGCTGTCTGCTTTTCTCCCCCTTCTCCTCTCTCTCTCTCTCTCTCTTTTTTTTTTAAAAAAACAGCAGCTAAAAAGCCAGCCCGCAGCCGAAGCACCACTTGGCCCCTGTGCAGCCCAGGGGAAGGAACCAAAGAGGTGCTTTCTCGTGGTGGACATGGACTCTCGTTTCATTGCAATTTTTGCTTTTTTCCAAACTTTACCCTTTTGTGGATAGCCTGTTCTGCTGGAGCGCGGGTCCTCCCTTCTCTGACCTCTGCTGGAGCACTGGCTGGAGATTTTTGATTCCTGTTCACCTTCTTCCCGTTTGGCATTTAAGCGAAATATAGCCGAGGGTGCCTCTTCCGAGTGACTCAGGCATGGCTGGGAAAAGCTGTTGAAGCTGCAAAGCTCCTTTGCCTGTCTGCCGCCCACCAGATCCTAGGAGGCTTTCTCATGTCAGTTTCCCCAGAGAGACAGACAACATGCCCTGCCTCTCTGTCGAAACACCGCAGAATTAGGAAAGCCAGACTTTTCAGACTTGGGTTTTTAAAACAAAAAGTCCAGTTCTGAACAGTGACGCCAACTGGATCCTTTCGTTTCATCGGCTGTTTGTAAAGAAGCGGGTGGAGAGCAATATGGCCCCGTGCTGGGCTTAGGAAACAGCCCCCAGGTCCTGTGTCCACCTTCCCTTAAAGAATTGAGAATATCAGGTAAGCTTGCAATTCTGTTCCTACAGCAGGGAGAGAAAGAAGAGGGAAGGGCAGGGAAGGAGGAAGGATAGAATGAGAAAGCTAGAAAGAAGAGAAAAATATGGGGAGCTAGATAGAACAGTGGTTCTCAACCTTTTTAATGCCGCGACCCCCCCCCCCAACCGGTCATAAGTCGAGGATTACTCAGCCGGTCGTAAGTCGAGGACTACTCAACTGGTGCAGCACCGTTTGCAGAATGGGGCTTTTGGCGGGCTCAGCAGGGCAGAGACAGCCTGGACAATTCCTATTGGCTTTTGAAAGCCAATAGAATTAGACTCTATTCAAGAGAGTCTATTCTATTGGCTTTCAAAAGCCAATAGAATAAAAGGGGGGAAAAATGGCGGACTGCGTTGTTTGGCGACCCCCGTAAAATGGTTGTTCGACTCCAAATGGGGTCCCGACCACAGGTTGAGAACCACTGTGATAGAGGAAAGGAAGACGAATGGAGAGGGCGGGATGTAGGAACTCTCAAAAGTTCTAATAAAGATGGAAACACCACGTCCCTTTTACGTGTCTCTTGGGTAGCTTCAGAGTTCTGAATTGAGTTAAGGAGCTGGATGAGAGCCAGGAGCTCAGGAAATTGAGTAAGCAGAAGACAAGGGGGGTTTCCCACCATGAATGGTGCTTGGTGTTGGTTTCTGGTGGACAAAGATAGTGGAACAGAGAGGGCTGATGGCTGTGTCTTGGGAAGGAGATAAGGGCTTTTGACGGGGGAGACATTGACAAGAAATCACCCAGCAGGTCTGTCTGAACAGGTTGTGTTTTAGGAACTCTGGGAAGTGTTTGGAAAGACTTTTGAACGAAAAAGTCATTTAGTTTCTAAGCTGACTTTTTCAAGAACTTGGCACTCTTAAACTGATCCTAAAGAATATCAGCTTTTCTTGTTTCTTCATTTGCTGCCCCGGTGGTTTATCAAATGTCCAGATTGGTCTTTCGTCATTATTATCATTGCTGTTTTTGTGATATCCTTAATATCATTTTTATTCTCTTGTTTTTCTGGCCCTAGGTAGGACATTTAAGGCCCGAAACAAAAATAGCACGCAGGAAGAATTCATTTTATTTTATTTTTTTTTATTTCTTTATTAAATTGATATGTTGCTTACCTCGCTCTGCGAAGAGACTCTTAAATGTAGAAACACGAAGGATGACTCAAAGCAAGCTTCCTTTCCTTCTTCCCTTGCAAAGTGTTTGGAAACAAGTCAAGGTCATTTTTTTAGCAAGGGCGTCTTTTTAATGAATTTTAAATTAAATTAAATAGTAACCCAAAAAAAAGAATAACACATCAAGAAAATTATGAGGCAAAGGCATACATTCTCAAGGAAAGAACAATGCGTAAAAGTGCTTTTTTAAAAATAGAAAAAGCAAGAATATTATTAAGGGCATCTTAATAAAGAAATTGGAAATGGCAAGTTAAATAGACGGAGAGTGAAAAAGATGACTAAGGGGTTTGGTGATTCCATCCTAAGGAAAAGATTGGTTGGTGTTCAGCCAAAAAAATCTGACGTTTTGAATGTCTTTGATGAGCTTCCAGACAGATGATGGAGCAAATGGGTTTCTTGTTCCTTCAGAGGATAAAACCTGAACCAACAAGTTTACATTTCAAGCCAAAGATTTTTTTTTGCTAAATATTAAGAATAATTATTGCCAGGATAATCCAGATTCTTTTGTCTGCGAGTTTTAAAAATTATACTAGATTAGGGAGATGATTTCAGCCAATTGCCTGCATTGAACTGTGATTCAGTGACCTTGATGGCTATGTTCAGTTCTGGCTTTTTTAAGGATTTTAGGAGGATTTCACCGTCTGTGATTTTACAGAACTTTTAAAAAAACTGAAGAACCACCAAAACAGAATCTCTGCAATAATAATAATAATAATAATAATAATAATAATAATAATAATAATAATAATAAAAGCAAGTGATTGAAAATCACCTCTTCTGGGCCAACCACCGGGGTATTTATCATATAAATAAATGTCCCCTGGTGCAGCCTAATTTGGTCGAATAAAAATCATTATTGATTTATGCCTCTTGCTGTTTGAAAGTAGCATAGAGTTATAGTCCTTGACTTAACGACAAGGGTCTTCAAACTTGACAACTTTTAAGACTTGTGGACTTCAACTCCCAGAATTCCTCAGCCAGCCACAGCAATCATCATAAATATGAGTCAGTTGTCAAGCATCAAAATGTAAATCACGGGATGCTGCAGCATAAGTGTGAAAAATGGTCATAAGTCATTTTTTTCAACGCTGTTGTAACTTCAAACAGTAACTAATCAAACTGTGGTAAGTCAGGAACTCCCTGTATATAGCTTTCATCTGCCCGAATCATTCATTTAGCCTCTGGATGAGTCACAAAATCCAGTGAAGGAGACCTTACACATCATGTAGCAGGCTGTTCCACCGGCTAACGGCTTGTACAGTCAACAGGTTCCTCTTGGCATCTAACCTAACCCTCTTTCCTTGCAATTGAGCTCTGTCGGTTCTCATTCTGCCCTCTGGATGATTAGAGAATAAGATCAGTCTCTGATTAAACTTACTTCTTAGATGATTTGTTGTAAATTAGTCTCTGCTTGGTGCCTCTGGGATTAAGAAATTCCCACTGTTTTATAATTGAATTTCTGGGCAACTGAGCTAAGGGGTTTTTACACCACTGAACCTACGGCCAAGTCAGCATATTTAAAAATAAATTTCAAAGGCAGGGATGTTGGAGAAATATATTCACGTCTGAGTTTTTGTACAGCATCCGTTTGTCCTAAGTATATGAACTGGAACGTCTTTCTGGGCTGAAGTGTCTGTCTTTCCAGAATTTTGCAATGCAGTTTGTCTCTCAAAGCATGCACCAAAATGCCTGTCTTGAGAGAAATTGCACAGGCAGATATCTTAAAGTTTAAAAATAGGACAGCTAGAAAAATGCTATGTCATTCCTTTTGATAGTGGCATTCTTCCTTCCTCTAACCTTTGATTGTTTTTGTGGTTTTGTTTCTTTTGTTCTATATAAGAAGGTTTCAAATCTTCCCTCCCAGATAAAGATTCTGGAGTCCAAATGTCATAATTTCCACCTATCAAAGAGAGATAACCACATCTAAATATCTCCACTTGTATCTAGAAGATGTAGATTTGGAGGGTGGATCTCTGCTTTGCACTCCTTGACTGGGAAACTGTGCTCCTCTATAACATCTCCCATAATGGGGGAGTAGTTGATCATCTGATATGGGGTTATTTTTGAAGATGCGCCCTGCAAAGATCAAGAAGTAAATTTTAGGTTTAAAATGCTCAATTGTGATACATATTTGACAACTCTAGCCTGGAAGTGTTATTCTGAAAGCTTACTTAAAGTTTCCAAGGATTGGCTTTGTAAATCTTTATTGGATGGAGTGAATTACCTCCAAAATACAGAATAAGAGATTTGGAAGGGACCTTGGAGATCATCTAGTCCAACCCCCTGCTTAAGCAGGAGACTTTATACCATTCCAGACAAATGGCTGCCCAATCTCTTCTTGGAAACCTCCAGCAATGGAGCACCCACAACTTTTGGAAGCAAGCTGTTCCACTGATTAATTGTTCTCACTATCAGGAAATTTCTCTTTAGTTCCAGGTTGCTTCTCTCCTTGATTAGTGTCTATCCATTGCTTCTTGCCCTGGCTTCAGGTGCTTTGGAAAAAGGGTACCCCTCCTCTTCTTTGTGGTAACCCCTTAGATATTGGAACACTGCTATCCTGTCACTCCTAGTTCTTCTTTTCACTAGACTAGACATATCCATTTCTTGCAACCGTTTTTCATATATTTTAACCTCCAGCCCCCTAATCATCTTTGTTGCTCTTCTCTGTACTCTTTCTAAAAAGACTCAACATCAAATAAACATCAAATTCTTTATCTGATGCTTAATTATGGCACATGCGTGCAGGCACTCACTTCTCTGACTTTCAGTTTGTCATTTAAGCTGTAAACACATATCAGAGGTACAACGCAGGAGTTTTTAATGCTGACGTGTTTACATTTACCTTATGGCATCTGCAACTTGAAGAATCTTGGGGCAGATAATAAGAAGGGTTTCTACAGGTCAAAAAATCTGGAAAAATGCTGCTGATATAGTGGGTAAACATGCTGGGGAGTGCCATGCACAAATCAATATGAAACCATGAAGTTTGATAAGCACTGATTGAACACTGAAGATGTTATCTAGTTGGGTAATGAAACATCTTGCATGCAAACAGCCAAGCTCAGAAAGCATTAAGGTTTCTGTGGTTCATCCCTGAGCTACAGAGATGATCTTCTATTGGGGACTGTCTCCTGTGGCCTTGTCTACCTCTGGAAGAATGCAAATGTCCTCCCTGCTGTTCTTTGGTGTTTGGGGGGTGGTGGGATGCTTCCAAGATGATCCCTCTTTAATTCAGCTAGCTCCATTGGTTTCTCGGGGCTCCCATCTCATTAACTTGCTGCAGCTACAGAACTGGATGGCAAGTTGCAATGTTGGGTTACAAAGAGACCTGCATTCTGCTCTTCCATTGACCCTCCAGTGCTGAGCTCAGATTGCAGAGTTGCTTTGCCTTTTCAGTTGATTCTAGGAGTCAGTGACGGTTCTCCCTTTTTGGGTCTCTCTTCCCCAGGATGTGGGGCTGTCAACTGAGGCAAGTGCTCTGCAGTTTCCACCAGCAGCTGAAGAAAGGTTTCAGGATTCTTCCAGCTTCGACCCACAGGCATCACACAGTCCCCAACTCACCCAGCTGTGCCTGGCAGTTAAAAGATGATCACCTAGGTAAGAATGGGACCTTGAAGGGAAGGGGGTCCAAAAGAGATGGACGTAGATAGGAGCACCTCTATGCATCATGGACGGGAGTGGGAGGATGCCATCCGCCTGGTCATACTCATTTCCAAAGGCCTAAATTCTGTTCCTTCTCCTTTCTGGTCTTCTTTGTCCTACTCTTGAATGTTACTCCATGCTCATGGTCCATCCTCTAGTGCATTCCAGCATTATCACAGGAGAGGAGGGGAGGAGAGGAAAGGAATGGAAAGGAGAGGAGAAGAGAGGAGAGGAGAGGAGAGAGAAGAGGAGAGGAATGGGAGGGAGAGGAGAGGAATGGAGAGGAGAGGAGAAGAGAAAAGAGAGGAATGGAGGGGAGAGGAGAGGAGGATGGGGAAAGGAGGGAAGGGCCAAGCAAATCTTGAAATAACCTTCTCTCCAAATTTTCTCATTCGGCCCTTTTCATGCACATATGCCATCTTAGCTTTATAAATACTCACACTTGCATTGTAGCTAGATGCTTAAGCAGCTTGCTCAGTAGAAAATATGCTCATAGTTTAAGGGGAATTGGAAAGCTTTCTCTCTGCCACTCGTTTTGACTGAGGGGAGCCTGTTCTTTTTCCTAGAGGTGAAATACAGGGACACCCTCATGCGCTTCGATTACATTTGGCTTCGGGACCATTGCCGCTCGCCATCTTGCTATAACACCAAGACCAACCAACGCAGTCTGGATACGGCTAGTGTGGATCTCACAATCAAGCCCCAGGTGGTGCGAGTGGATGAATCCACTCTCTTTGTCACCTGTGAGTTTCTGGAATTATATGTCTCCAGAGGCAGAGTGGGAGATGGTTCTGGAGACTGCTTCTCTCTCTCTCTCTCTCTCTCTCTCTCTCTCTCTCTCTCTCTCCCTCCCTCCCTCTCCCTCTCTCTCCCTCCCTCTCTCCCTCTCCCTCTCTCTCTCTCTCTCTTCCTCCCTCTCTCTTTCCCTCTCCCTCCCTCTTTCTCCCTCTCTTTCTCCATCTCTCTCTCCCTCTCTGTCTTTCCCTCTCTTCCTCCCTCCCTCTCTCCTTCCCTCCCTCTCTCCCTCTCTCTTTCTTCCTCTGTCTCTCTCTCTCCCTCTCTCTCTCTTCCTCCCTCTCTCTCTCTTCTCACCTCTCTCCTCTCCCTCTTATTTGGGCCACTTTAGTACACGTATAAGTCTCCCCAAATTCTTTCTGCGTTGTCAAATGCTCTGTTCAATTGCAAAGGTGCAGAACCGAGAACCTAGTAGTACAGCCCCTATGTCCTGAGGAACGTTCCCCTGATCCTGTCCGTCTCCCCCAGGGCCGGATGGCCACGTGACCAAGTATGGCCTGGAATGGCTGCTGAAGAACAGCTACGAGGGACAGAAGCAGCAGATCATGCAGCCCCGGATCCTGTGGAACGCCGAAATTTACCAGGCAGCTCAAGTGCCTTCCGTGAACTACCACAGCTTCTTGGAAACCAACGAGGGACTGAGGGAATTCCTGCAGAACTTCCTGCTGTATGGCATTGCCTTCGTGGAAGACGTTCCTCCCACCAAGGAAGACACAGAGATCATAGCGGAGAGGGTCAGCTTGATCAGGTAACCCTGGCTCATCGGAGGGAGCCTTATTCCTCTTTCTGACGCTTTTCTTTTTTCTTTCTTTTTTCCCTTTCTCTTCTTTTCTTTTTCTTTTCTTTGTTTTTTCTTTGTTTTTTCTTTTTTTCTTTTTTCTTTTTTTCTTTTCTTTTCTTTTTTCTTTTCTTTCTTTTTTCTTTCTTTTCTTTTTTCTTTTCTTTTTTCCTTTTTTCTTTTCTTTGTTTTTTTCTTTTCTTTTTTCTTTTTAATTTCTTTTCTTTTTTTCTTTTTTCTTTCTTTTCTTTTTTCTTTTTTCTTTCCTTGCTTTGTTCTTTCTTTTCTTTCTTTGTTCTTTCTTTTTTTCTTTCCTTTTTTTCTTTTCTTTTTTCTTTTCTTGCTTTGTTCTTTCTTTTCTTTCTTTTTTTCTTTGTGAGACGTTTCTCTTAGATTCAAATGCGATTAAAGTATTAGGCAGAGGTAGTCCTTGACTTACGACCACAACCGAGCCCCCAATTTCCATTGCTGAATGAAACGCTCAATTGTTAAGTGAGTGTTGCCTCACTTAACGACTTTCATTGCCACAGTTGTTAAGGGAATCACTGAAGTTGCTAAGTTAGTAACCCGGTTGTTCAGTGAATCGGGCTTCTCCCATTGACTTTGCCTGTCAGAAGGTCGCCAAAGGGGGAATCACGTGACCCCCAGGGACACTGCAACCGTCATAAGTACATGCCAGTTGCCAAGCGTCTGAATTTTGATCACAGGACCATGGGGATGCTGCAACGGTCGTAAGTGTGAAAAACAGTTGTAAGTCACTTTTTTCACTGCCGTTGTAACCTCAAGAAGTCACTAAATGAACTGTATTGAACCTGTATTGAACCTGGGATCATATGGAGGTCAAGCACATTAAGTCTCCTAATAACAGGTAGTCCTTGACTTACTCTAAAATTCCCTTTGTTAAGTAAGGCAGTTGTTAAGTCAAATCACGCCCCCATTTTACAACCTTCTCACCATGGTTGTTAAGCAAATTAATATAGTTGTTAAGTGAATCATACGGTCATTAATCAAATCGGGCTTCTCCTATTGGCTTTACTTGTCGGAGGCTCCCTGAGAAGGTTGCAAATGACAATCCAGGAAGCTGCAGCCATCGTACATACGCCGTACTTGCACACATACACGTCTGTTGCTAAGCACCTGAACTCTGAGAATGTAACTGTGGGGAAACCGCAATGGTTGCAAGAGTGAGGACAGGTCCCAAGTCCCTTTTTCCAGTGCTGTTGTGACTCTGAACAGTCATTAAATGAAAGGTTGTCAGTCAAGGGCTACCTGTACTATATCTGCCCCATCAATTGCTTCTGGGTTCTCTTCTCAAATTATAGCCAGGCTATCTCTTCTTTGCTTAAATATGGTGCCAGGCTTGTTGTTTTTTTGTTAAGATATTAAGGTCTACCCTTTGCAGGCTAGTAATGCACTGTTCTAGCAAAAATCCTGTTGTTTTTTTCTGAAAGGTCGTGAAAGACCTTGAGCTAAAAAAAACCAAAAAAATCCAGCTCTTGTGGTAGGGTGGGAATGTTTTAGTGGTGGGGCAAGCCATGTTTCCTGTTTTGATAGAGCAGATTGAAAGGGCAGCCTCAGTCCTGGGAGATTTGGAGATCAAAAAACATTCTCTCGGCTGGGGAGGAAAGGGCAAAGAAACACATCTCACATCTAATCAAAATTAAATTGCCAGGCTGACCTTGAACTGACCTGGTGTCTTAAGAAAAAAGGGATTTGCAATGGCTCCTTGCTTCTTTCTTACTTTCTTTTCCCTGTCTGCCTGGATTGCAAACCCTCAGCCTAAATTATTTCAGAAGAGACTGTTTTTTTATCTGGGAATTTCCAAAATTCATCACCCTGGCATTGGATGCAAATGTTTGCTTCTCTAAGTCCTTGTGAAATGGCTCAATCTATTCCAGTTTCAGTAGCTTCCTGTAGCTTTCTGTGAACTGTAACGCTTTAGACCTGATGTTTTTTTCAAAGATTGCCCCTTGCATGTGGATGAAAGATGACTCCGATTTGTAAACTACTTACATGTCGTGGATTAGTAAAAAAATAAAATAAAATAGATTTAACGAGCAATGAATTAAATGTCTGCACAATAAGGGAAACACACAACAAGGTCTCGCTCTCTGTTGTCCCAATTCTGTCGATTGAAAAGTAGTTTTACGATCCGATGCTGCATTGTGGATGTGTAACGTGCAATAAAACCATTCAGAATAGCGACAAGGACTTCTGATCCTTAATAAACACAATTGAAGGTATTCGTCTGACTTTATCTATAATTCTGCCAGTATAGGTAGCCCTCAACATAACGACCATAACTGAGCATCATTTCTGTTGCTAAGCAAAAGATTTGTTAAGAGAATTTGCCCCGTTTTACGGCCTTTCCTGCCATGGCTATTAAGTGAATCACTGCAATTGTTAAATTAGTAAGCAAGTTGTTAAGCGAATCTGGCTTCCCTCCGTTGACTTTGCTTGTCAAAAAGTCGTGAAAGGGGATCATGTGACCCTGGGATGCTGCAACTGTCATACGTACATGCCAGTTGCCAAGCGTCTGAACTTTAATCACGTGACCATGGAGATGCAGCAGTGGTCATAAGGGTGAAAAATGGTCATAAGTCACTTTTTTCAGTGCCATTGCAACTTTGAACGGTCACTAAATGAACTGTTGTAAGTTGAAGACTACCTGTACGGTGTTACTCCACACTTAAGGATTGAAACAGCTATAATCATTCCTGGCCAAACTAGCAAAAGTTCCACATTTCCAGATGTTACCGGGAATTGTGAACTAAAATAGAATAGGAGCTGGAAGGGACCTTGGAGGTCTTCTAGTCCAGCCCCCTGCTCAAGCAGGAGAACCTATACTGTCACAGACAGGTGAATGTTTAGTTTCTTCTTAAAAATCTCCAGTGGTGGAGCGCCCACGATTTCTGGTGGCAAGCTGTTCCACTGGTTGATTGTCCTCACTGTCAGGAAGTTTCTCCTTAATTCCAGGTTGCTTCTCTTTTTAATAAGTTTCCAACCGTTGTTTCTTGTCCTTCCCTCTGGTGCTTTGGTGAACAACCTGGCCCCCTCTGCCTTGTGGCAGCCCCTCAGATACTGGAACACTGCTATCATGTCTCCCCAAGTCCTGTAGCCGTTCTTCATATGTTAGTCTCAAGGCTAAAATAGTGTCTAACTAGAATAGTGTCACGGGCAATTATGCTTTTGATTTTATCCAGAAGGTCTACATTTGTAAGAAGAGTTGATGTCAACTCAAGTATTGGCTCTTGGTCTCTATTTCTTTGTCTCTTTGTTTCATTTTCTTTTCTCTCTTCTTCTAGAGAAACAATTTACGGCAGGATGTGGTATTTCACCTCTGACTTCTCCCGAGGAGACACCGCTTACACCAAACTGGCTTTGGACCGTCATACAGATACCACTTACTTTCAGGAACCTTGTGGGTAGGGGCCAATTGCCAACGAGGCAGAACACCACGAAAAAGATGAGTGTAGCTGGGAGCATGGGCCATTCTGACATGATTTCTCAGTTGAAACTGCCTCCCCCAACCTCAGAAAATAGCTCATGACTTGGCACTGGAACCTCAGAATGTTTTGCTCATCTCAAACTGAATCATATGGGTACTATTTATTTTGCGGGGCCCTTGGTACTCTCTGAGTTGGGTTGTTTTCTTGCAGATGGTTCAACTAGGTAACCTCATCCATGCTAGAAGGGAATGAGGTTTGTTTTCTGTTCACATACAAGCAGCTTGATCTGCCATTGGTGGTTCCTTAACAGTGTATTATTTACTGCCCGGTTTTTGGTCTACTATTGTTGATCTAGTATTACTCAACATCCAGATAAGCAGAGATTATTCATTCATTCAATTTCTATGACCACCCATCTCTGTCAATGACTCTGAGTGGATCTTGGTCAATGACCCTGGTGATTAACCCCAAGATTAATGCTAGACCAGGGGTCTGCAACCTTGACGACTTTAAGACTTGTGGACTTCAGCTTCCATAATTCTGGAAGCTGAAGTCCACAAGTCTTAAAGTTGTCAAGGTTCCAGACCCCTGCGCTAGACCAACTCAGACAAACAAACAAACCAACAAGCAAACAGTAAACCACAGCCTCCTCAAGGAATCACTAAGAACATTCCCCCCAACAGTGGCTTAGCAACAGAAAAGTTGGACTCAGTTGTGGTTGTAAGTCAAGGATTACCTGTATGGTAACTGAGTCTTTCTTCTCAGCATCCAGGTGCTCCATTGTCTGAGGCATGAAGGGACAGGGGGCAGGACACTCCTGGTGGATGGCTTCTACGCAGCAGAGCAAGTCCTACAGCAATCCCCAGAGGACTTTGACCTTCTCACAAAGGTGCCGCTGAAGCACGAATACATCGAGAACATGGGAAGCTGCCACAACCACATGATCGGGGTTGGACCTGTCTTGAATATCTACCCCTGGAACAAGGAGCTCTACCTGATCAGGTGAGGGGGAATGGCCTTCTGCTAAGACCTGCCTTCATATGGACATCACCCTTTAGGTCACTGGTCCCCCATTCTTTCAGCTTTGCGGACCAGTGGGGGGGGGGGAGGAGAGGAAATGGTTCTGTGTGAGTGACAGGCACATGAGTGAAGCTTCATGTGCATGAGATAATAATAATTGGTGAACAGTATGTTGTCTGGGTTACATTTGTAAAACAATCATTAACAATTTCTATAATCCCTATTCCACATAATAATTTTAGTTGATTTCCTCTTTCCCCAAAATATCCTCTCTTGCAAACATTGAATTAATACAGTTCTTATCGTTTTGATAAATAACAATTGAATATACATATATATATATATATATATATATATATATATATATATATATATATATATATATATATATTCCTAAAAATAATAATCATATCAGGATAATATTTCTTTTCTATTCAGTCATTCTGGTTGCCTTATCATCGATCCTGTTACAATCCTTATTTCAGTTTATTTCTCCCACCAAATTCTAGATATTCTTACTGGTGAGGAGTCTCTCAAAAATTAATTACATTTACATTTACAAATTTAACTCTTATTTTTTCCGTATAAGCCATCTCACACTTGTACGTTTCTTAAGAAATGGATAAAACGATGAAAAGAGGTTTATGGATTTCTACCTATGAACCTGGTTAACAATGGTTTAAGCCATCCCCCAGCCCCAGGGGGGACTGGCTGTAGTGTATAAAACCAGCTTGATCATGCTTGGCCAATGAGGATTGAAGTGACTTCTGTTTAAGGGTTTAGCTAGTGTGGCCCCTTGCAACCAAATGCGTTTAACGAGTCTTCCATTTCTTCTTCAGGTATAATAATTATGACCGAGCTGTCATTAACACGGTGCCTCATGACACTGTGCACCGTTGGTACATTGCACACCGCACACTCACTGCTGAGCTACGGAGGCCAGAAAACGAACTCTGGGTCAAATTGAAACCAGGCAAAGTAAGTTAAAAGGTGGTTTGTGGGAGAAGCTGGCTAAGACCCTTAAAACTCCCGATAGCCTTTCCTCCCCCAAGAAAGACACCAGGTTCAGACCCAGCTTACTTTTCGGAGAGCAACCTTCAACGTACCATGTTCTCATGCCCACAGCTGGTTCAGCATCCCTGCAGTCACGTGATCGAAATTCAGGCCCTTGGCGGTTGCAGTGTCCCAGGGTCACGTGATCGCCATTTGCGACCTTCCCAGCTGGCTTCCAACAAGCCGAGTCAATAGGGGAAGCCAGAGATGCTTCGGAGTCATGTGATTCATTTAATGACCACAGCAGAAAAAAAGATTGTAAAATCAGGCAACACTCATTTAAAACCTCCTTGCTTAGTGATGGAAGCCCAGGCCCCAGTGATGTTTGTAAGTCAGGCAGTCCTCAATGCCACCGTAACTTATAGTCACTAAATGAACTAGTCAAGGACTATCTACGTAGCCTTCTTCATTTCTGACAGTTAGAACAATTAACCAGTGGAACAACCTGCCTCCAGAAGCGGTGGGTGTTCCAACACTGGAAGTTTTTAAGAAGAGACTGGACAGCCATTTGTCTGAAATGGTATAGGGTTTCCTGCCTGAGCAGGGGGCTGGACTAGATGACCTCCAAGATCCCTTCCGACTCTGTTCCTGTTATTGAGTTAATTTAGTGAAAATCACTGGTACAGACACAGAACTAAGGTAGAACTAAGGAGAAATTTCCTGACAGTGAGAACAATTAACCTGTGAAACAACCTGCCTCCAGAAGTGGTGGGTGTTCCAACACTGGAAGTTTTTAAAGAAGAGACTGGACAGCCATTTGTCCAAAATGATATAGGGTTTCCTGCCTGAGCAGGGGGCTGGACTAGATGACCTCCAAGATCCCTTCCGACTCTGTTCCTGTTATTGAGTTAATTTAGTTAAAATCACTCGTACAGACATAGAATTAAGGAGAAATTTCCTGACAGTTAGAACAATTAACCAGTGGAACAACCTGCCTCCAGAAGCTGTGAATGTTCCAACACTGGAGGTTTTTAAGAAGAAACTGGACAGCCATTTGTCCGAAATGGTATAAGGTTTCATGCCTGAGCAGCGGGTTGGACTAGATGACCTCCAAGGTCCTTTCCAACTACTACTACTACTACTACTACTACTACTACTACTACTATTTCTACTTCTTCTTCTTCTTCTTCTTCTTCTTCTTCTTCTTCTTCTTCTTCTTCTTCTTCTTCTTCTTCTTCTTCTTCTTCTTCTTCTTCTTCTATTATTATTATTATTATTATTATTATTAATTCTCCTTTTCATTCCATCTGTAGGCCCTCTTTGTGGACAATTGGCGAGTGCTGCATGGCCGAGAATCTTTCACAGGATATCGCCAGCTCTGTGGTTGCTACCTCACCAGAGATGACGTGCTAAACACAGCCCGTTTACTTGGACTTCAAGCCTAAGGTGGCTGGGGCTTCTGATACTCTGGAGCTATTGATTCAGGAACGGGAGAGAAAAAAAATGCATACCTCACAGATCTGGCCTCTGGTCACAAGAGAGAGGAGAAGCCCTCCCAGCATTACTTGATGATCGAGCAAGTAATAAAGTCTACTGCCTTTTCTTCACTCTCCCCATTCTAGGCTCTCTGATTGGTTCTCCTTGGTTTCCAAAGCCCAGCCCATTGGCTCAGCTCGGGTCAGATGGACTGGGGAGCCATGCAGAGACCAGTTCTGACTTTCAAGGTGCTACCTCTTGTGCCTTTTGCTTATTGAAAGCAGCCCTGTCTTCTTGAGACTGCCCATGTACAAAAAACATCAAGGTTTTACTGGACGTATATGCTTGAAAACTGGTAGAGTCTCAAGGGAAGTTGAGTTAGTTCATCTGAAAGGCGTGTTGGTTGTTGTTGCAGCCTTTTGAGACCTCCAAAGTACACTGGTACCCAATGTTTGAAGGTTCTGCTTCTTCATATCTCTTCTCTTTGCTGCCTGCTGGTGATGTTAAACTTGCCATGTGATGGGAAAGTTGCTTCAGAGCAGGAGGAAGGAAGGACACAAACAGATCTGGGGAGAGAAGACAACATTAAGTCCCGATTTCCCAGCACTATTAAAAAAAAAATAGTGATAACGATATAATTATAGCACTGCGTTTCTTTCCAGCTTACTCTGTTGTCCATTCTTCATCTTGGTCGTTGCGTCAACTTTCTCCAAAATTTCTTTGCCACCCATTCTATGTTGGAAGGAAGCTCAGTCTCTATGGGGGGATTTCCCTACCATAATTTCCTTACTTTGTTTCTTTTCTGCTCCTTCCTTTGAAGGATCTTTATTGATAACAAGAGGCTTTACCTCTAAGAAGCTGGAAGCTGCCAATCCGTGTTCTTGAACTAAAGCTCAAACAATTGGAAAGAGAGAGAGAGAGAGAGAGAAGACACTTGATTATTCCTCTTAGCACGTTAGGTGAAAATAATTGCATGTTTCATTTTGATTGGCCTTCTCAGCAGCACCGTCTCTTCCGAAGAAAAGCAAATGAGGCTTTTAGCTGAAGCTGAGATGATTAGCTCAAAGATCTGAGTGGAGACACTGCTTCCGCTATCCGCTTCCTAGCCTTAGGAACCGGGTCCTTGACTAGGAACAAAGTGTTCTAGACCATTACTCCTTCTAGAGATGGATGATGATCATAGCTTGCACCCCGCCATCATCAGAGACACCTGTTCCCACTGCATCTCTTGAGCATGATCCAACAAGGATGCCCAGAACTTTTATAGGAAGCCAAGATTTGTCATTCTATGGAAGAACAGCACCTACAAGAAACAGCCAAAATCAGCTTTTTGCCTTCAAACCAAATAGAAATATCTTGCCTTTGTTTTTATATTGGATTTGCAATGACATTTTCATTATTAATAATGAAGAATGAAAGGCTTTCACAGAACTTGGGATGCAAATTCTGTGGTTGAGTTTGTCTTCAAATTTGAAAACTAATCTGTGCATCATTTTAGGAGTGGGAGGGGTGTTTTAACCACAAGAAGGTCCATCTTTGTTCATGTTTGTTGGCCAACCTTGGTCATTGCCAAGCTCAGCCAAACCTGGTTAAGCCCACTGGCTCTCATGGGCACATTTCTGCTAATTAAGGAAAATCAGCCATCTTTCCTATGTTCAGAGCTGAGCACTTGATCCCTTTCAGATAAAGAGACCTTTTTTGTGTGTCCTAGAATTATATTAAACATGCAAACCTGCTAAGGGGGAAACTCTAGAAAAGGAACTTTGCAATTCTTATATACATCAGGAAGTGGCTACCATTTTTCTTTGACAATATTCTGTTCTTTGCGGCTTTTGAATTAAAACAGCGGGAAAGCTGGCAAGATTCCTCCAAGTCTAGAAGGATACAGTTTTGACTCTTGCTAAACTGTAGGAATCATAATTTGAACTATAACATTTGAGATCTTCACCAAGGAAAGCAGGAAAGAAAGAAACTGGAATCCTACACGAACATCAGCAGTTTGAGTCTAGTTGAATTTTCTCCTTGAGATGCTCATGTTTTGTAAGGAACATATTTTAGGTTTGCTTGTCCCTGAAGCAGTATTTATCTCATGAGCTCCAAGCTGCTGTGAGGTCATTTTGCCCAGCTATAGTTTAGCTACACCTCACTGAGTTGCGATGTTCTTTGCAAGAACCAGATCTGTATGTGCTTCTTTCCTTTCTTACTCATAGTTTTGGACTTCGTTTTAATGTGATGCTGTAGTAGCACTTTTTTGCTCTTAACACTCCTTTTAGACAATGTTCAGTTTTTAGCAGCACAAAATATTTGGTACTTGAGGCCATCTCTAACTTGATTTTCTTAACTGTATGAGCTTCTGGGCCACGTAGAATGCATCAAATGTAGAGGAGGTGCAAATACGATCTTTGGATCAAGGCTACAGTTGTCTGGTATTTATTAGCTGCTAAGTTTCAGGAATACACTTACTAACTTCCAAGAAAGTCTTTGCAAAAAGTACCACTCGTGCTGTGGTCTATGTAGGTATTGTGAGGACATGTGTGGCTTTGTGTATAAGTAGGCGAGATCCCTTCATCCTGTCCCTCACACGGCCACACATTTGTTCCTCCTGTAAGAACAAGATTGTTATCTTCACCGTTAGCCATCAAACTTTGTAATTGTTTCCTGTTACTCTGCTTCTAATTAAAAAAAATTCAGAGATATTTCTTTCTGAGAGCAACTGCTGCCTCCGCCTTCGTTTTATTAAACCGATTTTGCAAAATGTGGCCAATGAATTAAAAACCCTAAATCATGCTATAAACTTAAAAAAAATAAAAATTTTAGGAAGCCCGGAAGAGATGTCTGTGTGTAAGGGGGTTGACTTAGGTTTCAAAAAAAAACATTGGGTTTTAAATTTGTACATTCCAAGTCTTAAACTTTCAGCATCTAGCTTGGCTGCTTGACCTCAAGCTTTATCGGTAGTCCTTGACTTACAACATTTAGTGACCGTTTGAAGTTGCAAAGGGATTGAAAAAAGGGACCGGTGATCATTTTTCACAAGTCACGTGATCAAAATTCAGAAGCTTGGGAACTGACTCATATTTATGACTGTCGCAGTGATCCCCTTCTGCATCCTTCTGACAAGCAGAGTCAGTGGCGAAGCCAGATTCACTTAACAACGGTATTACCCACTTAACAACTGCAGTGATCCTCTTCACAAGTGTGGCAAGAAAGGTCGTAAAATGGGACAAGAGTCACTTAACAAATGTCTCGCTTAGCAACATAAATTTTGGGCTCAGTTGTAGTTGTAAGTCAAGGACTGCTTATATTTATTTATGTATTAAACAAATTTAGGTATGGTAGCCATTCAACACGTACACGGGCGACTCCGGGAAGCTTATGTTGAGAAGAATTTGTGAGTCTTGGAGCCCTGGGACCATGTCACGAAAAAGTGGGACAATTGACATCTGGTAAGGTTATATGTTCTTATTTTTTTCTTATTTTCTTTGAAATGTTTTGAATTGAAACCTCGTGGTTAACCTCATCTAACCCCCCAAAAAGATAGGGCTTAATTTTCTCATGCTGGCTATCCTGATCTGGTTCCTTCACTTACATTCCACAGAGATTTGCATGACATTTAGTTATTACTTTTATTCTCCCTCTCTCTCTCTCTCTCTCTCTCTCTCTCTGTGTGTGTCTCCCTCCTTCCCTTCCTCCCTCCCTCCTCTCTCCACCTCCCTCTCTCATTCTCTTTCTTTCTCTCTCTCCTCACTTCTCCTCACTCTCTCATTTGGGCCCCTTTAGTACACGTATAAGTCTCCCCAAATTCTTTCTCCATTGTCAAATTCTCTGTTTAATTGCAATTGTGTAGAACCGGTAGCAAATTTCACGCTAAAGACTAAGAAGACAGATTGACATTTGGAGATGTTCCACAGCTGGCGGGTTTTAGGACCTGGTCATCCCAGGGTGAGAAGTCTTGAACAGATTATAAAAACTGGGTTCTCTACCAATTGCACGATAAAATGACAGGATTTAGGACAAGTGGTGCCTAAAGTGGGTCATTCGGAAAGAACATTTGACAAACTCTTGGCTGTGAGTCAGGGATGGGTGGCTAGAATGGGGTGGCCCCGTTGCCATTGAGTTTGTCACCAGGAGAGCAGAATGCAAAGCTGAATAGAGTTTTGACTGTAGAGGATTTTGTGTGTCCGTATATAAGTAAAAGTATTGAATTATTCCCACAAGACAACCACAATCTATTAAAGTTAACTATTTCACGCAGCTCAGTCACATCCCAAACATGACATGGATCATTCTCAGCTTATCATTCAGTTACGTACTTCTTCCCAATGTTTTATGTTTGTAAGATTGTTGTTTTGGGATTTTTTTTTAGATCTCAGAAAATACACGTAGACTAACCACACACGTTCATTTTGAATTTTCCTCAATGTCCCAACGCAGCACTGCACCAGAGAGATATTTTGGATTATTTAAAATGGTGGCGTATAACAAACTGGCCCTAATAAAGGTGGTCCTTGATTTATGGCCACAACTGAGCCCAAAATTTCTGTTGCTAAGCAAGACAGTTGTGACTTTTGTACCCTTTCTTGCCACAGGTTGTTAAGGGAATGGCTGTAGTTGTTCAGTTAGTAACACAGTTGTTGTGTGACTCTGGCTTTCTCGTTGACTTTGCTCCTAAGAAAGTCGCAAAAGGGGATCACATGATTCCGGGACCCTGGCAACCATCATAAACATGAACCCCTTGACACCTGTCCGAATTTTGATCACGTGACCACGAGAGAATGCTGCGGCGGTCGTAAGTAGAAACAATGGTGAAAAGTCACTCTTGTAACTTCAGTCCCTCAACGGAACGGCTGTAAATCGAGGTCTCGTACCGATGATTCCTACCAAGAAAATAGGGTCCAGGCTGGAAACATCCATGGACCCCCAAAGACAAAGATTAGCCCGAGGCCAGCTTTAAATCAATCTTTTTTATTAATTTTTTTCCCATCAACATACGTTAATTTTTCCAATCAACAAGTTGTCTGGAGTTTGCTAAGCTAATACATGTTCACTTCCTAATCCTTCCTTCTTTTCTCTAACCAAGAATAAAATAAATTCCAAATTTGATAGTAGTCCATATCTTCTTGGTCTTTCAGCCTCATAGTTAGTCTGTCCATCTCTGCACATTCCAATATTTTCGTGATTATTTCTTCCGAGGCCAGCTTTAATGCTTCAGCATTTTTTAAAAATAAGAAGGGAACAAGTTCCGCTTAAGCAGTGCTGATGTGGAAAGGGGAAGAAGAAGAAAAAAAAAGCCTGACAATTTAGACCTGATCATATGGCCCCTATTTGTTAAAAAAAGAAGAAAAGTGAAGCAACTTTTCAGAAGACGTTCAAGCAGCTTGCTGTTAAACCACAAAAGCCTCCCACCAGCAAGAAATTTCCTTGCACTCCGATTCTTGCTGGTGAATTGTCTTGCTCTACGCAAGCAGGTGCCAGATCAAAGAGTTTCGAATCTCCAACTCTAAGCCCGAGGAGCGTTTTTTCTAATCAAACCAGGAGCACCCAGGAGTAGAACAGAAACCGATTCACAGCGGGTTGTGCCGTTTATACGTTTGAATATTAAAGGACGTATCTTCTTTTCAACCAATTCTGTCTGAAGTTTTCTTCGTTCTTTCAAAGCCTTCTGGATTGCATCTGGACTAAATCCCTCCTCCCTCCCGACACACACACACACACAATTTCTTTTTTTTTTTCCTTTTGGAAAATGAATTTATTTTATTTAACAGTTCACGCATACTGTATAGACAACGACAATCCTCAATTACAATCACAACTGGGACCAGAATGTCTTTTCTTTCTTTTTTTTAACATTCTTTTTTTTTAATAATTGTACTGCTTTATCGAAATATAAAATACAAACACAAATTAAAAAAAAAGTAATAGCAAAAAGTAATGGAGTCGTAGAGTTTGCATTTTATATTTTGATAAACTGATACAATTATTTAAAAAAAAACGGATCCCCCCCCCAATTTCAAGCTTCCATGCCTTTTGCATTAGCTCTTGTTTTATATAACTCTTATCTAGATCATGCTTCAGCTGTGTTTCATAAAGGAAATGGCATATGTGTACAAAAATAATTCGGGTAGTCCTCGACCATTCAAAATTATAACAGCACTGCAAAAAGTGACTTATGACCATTTTTCACACTAACGACCATTGCAGCATCCCCATGGTCACGTGATCAAAATTCAGGCCCTTGGCATCTGACTCATACTTACGACGGTTGCTGTGTCCCAGAGTCACGTGATCCCCTTTGGTGACAAAGTCAATGGGAGAAGCCAGATTCACTTCACAACTGTTGTTGCCTAACTTAACTGCAGTGAACCACTTAACAACTGTGGCAAGAAACGTCGTAAAATGGGGCAAAATTCACTGGGCAACAGAAAAGTCAGGCTCAATGGGGCTGTGATTCGAGGACAACCTATCTAAGTTACAATAATAGAAAATTAGGTCCATTTTCCAAAAAGTCTTACAGTTGAATTTCTCTGGCTATTTTTTTTTTTAAAGATGTTCTTTCATCTGTCAGGCTCGAAAACTAAGAAAGAAACTGAACCACTTCCAAATAGTTCTCTTTATTTTTCCTCGCCTATACACAGAAATCTTGCCAAACTTAAGCAAACTACTTGCATCATTAAAGATATACTCCAAGAACCTCTAGGGAGGAACTGTTTTAACTTTCTCCCAAGCAAACTATTTAAACTTTGTTGTCTCTTGGTCCTCTGGAATGCAGCCCCTCCCTCCTGGGAATCCAGACTCTATTCCACCACATAATCCACATTAAAATAAAAGTAGCCTGACCTGGATTAAATTAAATGAAAGAAATAGCGAGCAGAACACCTTGCATTGCCATAGTAAGAATTTTCTTGTTAAATGTTTTTCTGAACATCAGTCAGTGCAGAGCAAAAAAAAAAAAAAGGTAGCTTTTTGCAGTTATAATTGTATGTGGTAGATTTTGTAATGTGATATATCTCACCACATCTCTCCTTTGCTAGTTCACTGCAAAAGACGTTGCACTACAAATTTTAGCTGCCTGCCTCTTTTAAGCCTCAAGAATCACTGCAAGTCTATTCTGATCTTTGTTTTGAAAAAGCCAAAAAGTCAAATGTAATTGCTCTCCAGTAAAAGCTGCCCTGCCCCTCAATTTCTCCAAATTCTTTAAATAAAACAATATTTTAAACCAATTTTAAATATTGTTTTTTTTTTTTAGAAATGATAATGGTCATGGCACCATCCATGGAATGTGTAACGTTTAGCAACAGAAGCTTTTCCCTTTTTTTTAGTAATCCCCAAATCTGACATTTAGAAATACCCAATTCTATTCAAACTCACAATAATTCTTGGAAGATTTTGTTTCATTCCTAGAGGTGATTGAGCAATGTCTTCCAAGAATTATCATTCCCGTTTAAAGGGTTACTGTAAGCAAATAAAGACTTGCAAGAAATCATTGCAACCAACAATCTAGTGATGAATATGTAGAAACTTCAAAGACAGAAATAATGATGCGTTTCAACAGTTTCCTAAACCTTTGGTTCCTATTTTTGCTAAAAGGTGCCGGAAAAGCTATTATGCAGAAGATGTTTCCTTTTTCCTTAGAAGACAGAAATAGAATCAGTGAGAGGAAATTTTGCTCAAATATAAAGAAAAATGTTAAGACAGTAAGAATAGCTTGACAAACTTTTAAAAGCAACACGCTCAGTTTTCTGCTCAGTTTTGTTAGTTTTTCTTTCACAAATTGTTTTTAAAATTCATCCTCTTTTTTGCTTTGTCCGTGGTTTCCTCAGAAAAAGAAAATCAAATGTAACACATCCTCAATAGGGACTAAAACCCCTATTTGCGGCTTGCGTCTCCTCTTAACATATATCAGTATTTTCCCCGAGTGATGTCTAAGTCAGGTTCCTGTGTCCTGGTGTCTTCTGGACTTGTTGAATTAAGAACCCTTAACTAGGGCTTTTAGTCATTGCAACCTCTGGTCATCACCCTCCTGAAGACGGCTGATCTAGCAAGAAGAACTCACGTTCAGAAGCTTATCCTAGTTATGCAACTTAGTCCTTCTCTACCCTGAAGTCTGTAATCGATTATTTGACGTACAATACTCTCTGGTTATTTTGAGAAACCCACTTCAGCTTTCGGAGAGTAGTGTCCAGCAAGGATCTCTTGAAACTGCTGGACAGAAAGAAAAAAATCACAGGGTCAAAACAACCGTTGAGGGCTGAAATGCAAACGACCAGTTCGTTTGCAAGATGGAGGGCCTGGATGTTCTGTTCAGAAATGATCCTCATTTGGACAAGGATGTAGGGTATTCGGACCACATGGTAGGGGACAAAGCATACGATAAAAACCACCAAGACCACAAAAGTCTTTATTACAATTCTGGTGTTCATCCTCTTACTGTGCTGCTGGGTTTTCTTCAAAGAGACCGCACGGAGCCTGAGGGAGATCTTAGCGTAGGAATAAAGGAAAAAGAACAGCAAAAGGAAAAAAAAAGCCACCGCCACCATATTGAGTATGCCTCCGCTGGTGCTTCTGTACTTGAAATGGAAGCACTTGTGGTCACAGGGCCCACTTCTACTAGTGTCCAAAAGGAAGCAAAGCATGGTGATGAAGCAGACCGTCCACACCAACAGGGACATGGAAGCGCTGAATGACTTAGTGTGGATTTGGAATTGTTGAAGGGGCTTGATGATTTTGAAGTAGCGGTCTAGGCTGATCAGGCTGAGAAGCAAAATGCTGACGTACATGGTGATGTAGAAGATCATGCCTACCATCTTGCACAGAGCGGGGGGACCACTGTGGTTTTGATAAGCCACCCGGAAGGGCAAACAGAGGGAGAGCAAGAGATCGGCGATGGCAAGGTGCTTCATGTACACCGTGATGGAGTTTGTCTTCAGGGAGCCCAAAGTGAAGACCCAGAGCGCCAGGAGGTTGCTAAGGAAACCAATGATGGTGATGATTGAGTACATTGCAGGCAGGGTCTCCGTCAGAAAGCCATCCTGGATTCTACAGGTGGATTCACAAGATAGGTTAGATCCATTATTGAGGTTCTCCCCAAGACAAGAATGGATGTCCATACCTCTGTGGAGAAAAAAAATATGGGAGAAATAATTAGATGATTCTATAAATTTCTTAATTAACATCATTGCTTAATTAACTTAGGAGGGATGGAACTCCAGACTTGAAAACCATTGCTCTCGCTTTTCAAGCCTTCTTGGCTTTGTAAATGAATAGCTTTGACTTAAGGTCATGAAGAACCAGTTTGATCTAGTGGTTAAGGCACCAGGCTAAAAACTGGGAGACTATAAGTTCTAGTACCAATTTAGACACAACGCCAGCTGGATAACCATGAGCCTTCTCTCTCAGCCCTAGGAAGAAAGGAAAGGAAACCACTCTTCAAAAACCTTGCCAAGAAAACTACAGAATCTAGTGCAGGCAGTCACCAAGAATCAAAAACTGACTCAAAGGCAAAGTTAAAAAATAGCCATTTGCAGGCACTGGGGTAGGATATAAATGAAGTCCAACATGATTGACAGCTCCTTAACATTGTTCTTTTATTTGATTTCAATGTTCTGTTTTTTATTTTGTTATTGTCTCCATGGTAGATGGGCACCCGTATGCATTTGATAAATACCTAGATAGGATACGTTGCTAAGAACTGTCAATAGATTTAAATAAGCTTGAGTTCCAGCTGCTTTTTACATTTGCATGCACTGATTTTTTAAAAAACTGTTTAAAATATTCAAATATAGTTTTGACAAAAAAAGAACAAAAGTGATATTTGTTTGCTGTGCAGCTGATTGTATATTGTAATGTCAAATGGGCCGTACAACATGTTCTCTAGTTGTCTTCAGAACACCAAGAAAAGCTATTGTTATTTTTCTTTGATTTCTGTTGGGTTCAGCTGAGTCTGTTTCTCAGCAGATGCAAATGGGATGCACTGTTGAGAACTGCTTTAAAATACCTAAACTGGACTTTGAAGTGGGAGGATTCAGTGCCAGCTAATTTTGAGAGATGGAGTTGACAGAGACATTGTGAAAGTCTAGCATACCAACACACATTCAGCTTGCAAGCTGACATGCTGTTGTCTGCAAACATATGTTAAATATAATGTTGCTGTTTATTTATATCAGAGTGATGCTGAAATCCGACACATCGCTAGAAGCCAAAATCACAAAAATGCATCTGATTTACTTTGGCCGTGCCCTGTGTGCAAATTCATTGGAGAAGTCAGTGATGCTAGGAAAGGTTAGTAAAATAAGAAGGGCGAGCAAAGAACTTGCTGGCTTGATACCATCAAAGCTGATATAAAAATGAACATCCAACAACTGAAAAAAGCTGTGCTTAACAGAGTAGCAAAAAGATCACTTGCCTATGAAGTCACCAAGAGTTGGACACGACTGAATGGCTAAAACAATAAAAAAAAATATTTATATATGAAGGTGCTTGTGGGCCATCTAGTCTATTGATTCTAGGTGTGGTTACAATAAAACACTCTAAAATCAGCATAAAACATAACGAGCATAATGCTGGCATACAAAACCAGTCTTAAATATTGATGCCTGTCTTATATTAGCTTCTCCTCTTTGCGGGCTCTGAGGAAGAACACAGTTTTTGTGCTCTCTAGATTAAGATAATATATATTTTAAAATCCCAGGTTGGCTTCGTAGGGCATAGTCTTCCAAAGCAAGAGTGGGAAACCAATCAGTTAGCTCCCAAGATTCCTACTTTTTTCCACAATGGTCCCTGCCTGCTTGCATGTATTGGCTGGGCAAATTCTACATGGAACAGTCCGTCTCAGAAGCAATTATAACTATTAGTAGGTGCCACAAGCAAATCCATATACTTATTTCATCAGGAAAAGATAAAAAGCATAACATTCAACAAAAATAGAAATCCTGTGTTCTTATGGGCCATCACATCACTGTATACGTTCCTATTTGCCTGCAAAATAATAGTAAAAAAAAAAAATGTAGTTCCTAGAACTGCCTATACTTGGAAGTGTTATTTTTGATCTTTAAATGCTGATATCTTGTCAATAAGGCATGCGTGTGGTTGCTGGTGTCTTAGATTTCCATTATGTCAAAAGTTTGAAAGAACAGCATCAAACTAATCGAAACAACAGTACTAAACTAATCACTAGAAACTTGGAGACTAAAATCACATTTGAACCCACGTCAGCCTTCCATCATCACCCTCACCCCCAAAAACACTTAAATGGCTCATGTCATCACATACCTTGACATCTCCATTCTGACATTCACCCGGATGAGGATTGAGACTCTCGCACGGCTTTTCAAAGTCTCTTCTGAGAACTTCCTAAGATGTGTGTTCAACCTGCTGATCTTTAAAGCTCTGTCAGCGAAGATAAAGACATGGATGTGGTTGGCTGAGCTTACTGCCTATGAAAATTTACTCAGTTGTGTACCACTAGGTGAAGCAGCTGAGAAAGAAGATAGGGGAAATAAATTGCTTTCTTTTTAGAGAAAATAGGAAGAATAAAAGGCAGCGGGGGGGGGGAGTTAAAATTTTTGGATTGGTAGTAGGAGGGTTTTGAATTTTTTAAGCCTTAAGTTCCTTGTACTTAGACAAGGACACAAAGTCAAAATAGCACCAAATGTGAGAGGTAGCAATGAATAAAATTGGGGTAGTCAAGTGTGACTTTATGCAGGACAGTGGCATTCAAAGGAGGAGGAAAGAGAGCATCAAGCAAGGAATAACATTAAAGGAGGATATGGCTGAAGGACCTGGCCTCCCTTTTACTACTTGGAGGACCCTGAATAGGTTAAGAGTTGGAGTGTGTAAGTGTAAAACCAGTATGCTCAAGTGGAGGCTTTTAGCGGGTAACAATATGCTGTGTGAATGTGAAGAGATGCAAATCCCGGCCAATCTGCTGGTATGTTGACATGTACCGATAATGGCTTAATTTTGGCCAACAACAAAACCAAGAAAGTGACTTCAATCTGGCAGTCTAAAGTTTGACCTAGACACGGAAGAAGAAGCGGTGTGCAGATCAGATGTTTGCTCTTTAACTAGTTATTAGGAAATGTCTGACTGTGAGAAAGAACAGTTATTGTACGTTTGTGGGTTTGGAGAAAGCATGTGATAAGAGTGAATGGACGTGCCCCACAATATGGAATGCTATGCATTAATACAGTGTTAAAGGCTGGCCTTCTGAATGCAGTAAAAGTGGAATATAACGTGGAAATAAAATATGTGAGCATAATGGTTGGCAGATAGTTCAAAACTGTCCTAAAAATGGAATGGAAGGATATGGTGTCCATTGATTGTTTGATATATTTATGGATAAACATTACGAGAAATGTATATGGAGATTCTCAGTCATCCAGGTCATAGTTGTCCCAAAGATACTTTTTCACAAGGCAGCTGGACTTTCTTGTTTTGTTTCTCATCCAAGAAGCTTCTTCAGAACTGAAGAAGCTTAAGAAGCTTCTTGGATGAGAAGTGAAATGTCTTCAAAGGAAAAACAATAAAGTCCAATTGCCTCATGAAAAAGCATCTTTGGGTTAATTATGAGAAATGCTTGTGGTGTGTTGTTCGGGTATATAAATGTGTGCATATTTTTATACAGAAGTGTGTGTACTTTTGTATAGACCAGTGGTTCTCAACCTTTTTAATGCCACGACCCCCAACTGGTCATAAGTCCAGGACTACTCAACTGGTGCAGCACCATTTGCAGAATGGGACTTTTGGCGGGCTCAGCAGGGCAGACAGAGCCTGGACAATTCCTATTGGCTTTTGAAAGCCAATAGAATTAGACTCTATTCAAGAGAGTCTATTCTATTGGCTTTCAAAAGCCAAGAAAATAAAAGGGAGTAGCACAGCTAAGGAAAAGGGGGAAAAAAATGGCGGGCTGCATTGTTTGGCGACCTCCATGAAATGGTCATTCGACCCCAAATGGGGTCCCGATCCACAGGTTGGGAACCACTGGTATAGACTATGCCACGTTAGTGGCTGAGAATTTAAATAATTTGCAGTGATGGTTTACATGATGCAAATGAGTGGTATGGACCTGAAAAATTTTTGTACCAAAGACAGAGACAGTTTGGTTGGAGTAGAAAAACGGATGAAGCTAGACATAAATACTATAAAATCAAAGTTAAAGTTCTTTTTCATAATTGAGCAGACTTTTAGATAAAAAAAGCCCACCCTATCGCAAGTAGAATAATTTGTGTATCTTCTTAAAATGTTTATTGAAGGGTGGGAGAAGGAATGGATGGATGGAAAAATTCCCGCTGTTTTATATAAACTGACTTCCTGGGATAGGTTTATATACATTGTATTATTAAAATATAAATTGATATTTCAGTGAATCATGTCAACCAGCCCAACTTTGCTAGTCACTGCCAGTCTGGAAGAGAACTTGGAAGCCATAGGCTTTCAGACCTTCCTTTAACAAGCAAGTAATATTTTGGGGCTGCTAGTCTTGAGCACAAGTTGAATCTTGCAACACAACACATCACAAACCATTTGGAGGCATCTAACATCCTTTTTTATGGACTTGGTGAAGACTGGAACATGGACTTTTCCTGAACTTTTTGTCTAGATTATAAACAAAAATGATATTAACAAACTGACATTCCTATTTGAAAGAAGAAGTCATATAAAAGAGATAGGGAAGCTTCAAATATTTCCGTTACAGAAGGGATATTCAATTTCAGTTCCTTTTTTCTTCTGCTCAGATCATATCTTTGGACGGACTGGTGAAACAACAGCCATGCCATAGAGTCTCCCAGATGTTGTTCAGGATCACGTTCTGTCTAGACTCTAGAGCTAAATACAACACAGTGATTAATTATGTAGACTCTTGGTCAACATTTCTTAGATTTAAATGTCTTCTTGATCACCACAACTAACTGCGTGAGTCAACCTGTTGCCTTTTGTGGACAGTCTGTAAGAGGCAGAAGGAAGGACTCATTCATGGCTGGAGTCCATTAAAGTTGGGCGATAATATATTCAAATAAACAAAAATAATAATTAAAATAGAGACCTTTTTTTCCAATGGAGGGGAGGGCTGAAATGACCCAGTGTGGATGCATATGGTAATAAATATTTGGGGGTGGAGGAATTGGATTTTCAGTTAGTATAGATATTTTGAGCTGGAGAAATGGGAGATACACACACACACACACACACACACACACGCTATCCTTTTGTGTGTGTGTGTGTTCATGTGTGCGAGGAAACTAAGCCATTGCTTTTCTGCAAGTCAGAGATGTGGTCGGAGAGCTGTGAAATAACATTGTAAAAAGAAATTTGAGATGGGTTTTCAGCTGCTTCCTCTTGTCCTGCAAGATGAAGGCAACTCAGAAAGAGCTATTTTAAAGAAATTAATGCTGGCCAATGGTCCATATGGCCAAATATATGGGGCCCAAGTAGTTTGATGGTTGCATTCACAGAATGTGCTAAGTCATGGCTTATGAAACACTCACTTTTCACAACGCATTTTAGCCCTGTTTATTGCACGGGAAGAGCCATAAAAGCAAGGACTGCTTTGTAAATCTGCCCCAAAACATTTTAAAATATTGGAATAACGAGCATGTAACTTCTTATTCTTTCTCAGCCTAGAAAGAGGATATTCAATGCACTGGATGGTTCCCACAATTCAGGACACTGGGCTCATACAAAATTGTGTTGTGTCGTTTATCATGATTTTGTTGGAACGACACAAATAACACAAATATGTCTTACCAGCCATGTCATTAGGACAGGTCAAGGCAAATTATTTGAACAGGCACATTATACAAACTCCAAGAAGGATGTTTTATTAAACCAGAGTTAGGCTTCAGCAGGGAGCAGGCACCTTATGCCACTATTTGCAAAACATAGTTTTCATTGTAAAGTATGTGGTTTGAACCCAAGCCAGCTGGGGTTTACTTAACAAGCCAGGGTTCGTGCGTGAATTATGAAGCCACTTGGAATTAAGGAGAAACTTCCTAACAGTGAGGACGATTAACCAGTGGAACGGCTCGACTTCAGAAGTTGTGGATGCTCCACCACTTGGAAGCTTTTAAGAAGAGATTGGACAGCCACTTGTCTGAAATGGTATAGGATCTCCTGTGTGGGCAGGGGCTCGACTAGATGTCCTCCAAGGTCCCTGCCAGCTCTATTCGGATTGATTTAATTAGTTCATTTATGCCTCTACTCGCCCAGAAGTGCTGCGGCCACGCCCCCTGAACCAATCGAGCCGTCCCCACCCCCGTTTTAGATCAGCCAATCAGCTGCTCGTGCAGGCCTTCACTTAGTCTTAGCCAATTTCCCGCCTCCCTTTTCCACATCCGGGCCGTTTCCCAGCAACGCGGTGGCGTCACTTCCGGCGCAGTCGTCCGAGAGGGAAGGCGCCATGCTTTCGGTGCCGGGCAGCGGGGCCGGCTCGTCTTCGGGCTTCGGCCCGGGCGAGGCGGCTTCGGGCGGCGGCAGCGACTTCCTGACGCGCTACCGGCTGGTGTCGTCCAAGCTGCGCAAGCGCTTCCTGCGCAAGCCGAACGTGTCGGAGGCGTCGGAGCAGTTCGCGGCGCTGGCGCGGGAGCTGCGCGCCCAGGAGAGCCTGCCCTACGCGGCCTGGTGCCAGCTGGCGGTGGCGCGCTGCGCCCAGAGCCTGGGCCACCCGGCGGGCGAGGCGGCGGCGCTGGCCGAGGCGGCGCGGCTCTGGCTGCGCCACGAGCGCGAGCTCCGCCTGCGGCAGGGCGCCGGGCTGGGCCTCTGCGAGCACCTGCCGGCCGCCCACGGCTGCGTGGCCTTCGCCGCCCGCCTCCACGTCGACCTGGGTCAGCCGGCGCTGGCGGCCGGCTTGTGGCTGGAGCTGGGCAACGAGCTGCGCTCCGCCGGCGAGCCGGGCCAAGCCGTGCCGGCCTTCCTGCGCGCCGCCGACCTGCTGGCCGCGGCCCACCTGCCCCTGGAGGCGCTGCACGGCCTGCGCGACGTGGCCTCCTGCCTGCTGCTCGGCCGCGACTACGACGGCGCCCTGGCGGTGCTCACGCAGGCCCAGCAGCTGGCCCAGGCAGGAGGAGGAGGAGGAGGAGGAGGAGGAGGAAGCGGCGCCCCGTCCAACGCTTCTTCCGCCTCGCTGCCCGGCGCTTTCCTGGACCACCTGCTCGGCTGCGAGGTCAGCCGCGTGCTGCTCCTGCTCCTGTTGCAGCCGCCGCCGTCCAAGCTGCTGCCCGAGCACGCTCAGATCCTGGAGAAGTACTCTTGGGAGGCCCTGGACGCCGCCTCGGGCTACGTTCCGCCCGAGCTTTTCTTGCTCCTCCAGTCGGCCGTGATGGCCTGCCAGGAGAAGGACTTGGACTCGCTGAAGGTTTTGCAGAAGGAGCTGTGGCCGCTGCTCACGGCGGAGCAGAACAACCTGCTGCACTTGGTGGTGCAGGAGATGATCAGCCCCTCCGGTCAGGGGTTCTGACTGTTGGGGCTCCTGGGGGTGGTTTTTTTTCTCTCAAGGCTCCATCCAGGGAGAGGTCTTGTGGGAATTGTTGAAGAACTTGGGCCAAACGTCCCACAAGAGGTCTGCATAGTCGGTGGGAAGGAGGTGAAATTTACAACGTTGTTCACAGGAAGAAATGAGGACACTTACGGACCCATTATGTTGGATTGCTGCCATTTCTAAACATTCTTTGCCTCTGCCAGGAGTTGTGTTCTGACGTCCCTGCTTCTTTCTACCTTGTCATTGTCTGAACTTAAATTATGAGCTTGAGAGAACTGCACATGTTGGCCCGTATTTTATTTTGCGGCTTTTTAGAATTCTTCCTTCATCCACAGGCCCCGAGTGAAAATTATATGACATTCGCAATGTTGGCTTGAAAACTGATCAGCACGTTTCTCTTGTTTTGAGATGACGGAAAGCTTTATACCATTTTGATATATTGTGTCCTTCTCAGCGCTGTGCTTCTGATGGAAGCTACATTAAAATCGACATGGGTGACGTGAACAACAGTTTGGGAGAGTGGAAGGAGTTTCAAAATATTTCTGTATTTGAACCCACATGTAAGCTGTGTTCTCAGGGTTCTGTACTGGATTCATTTCTGCCTTGAAATAATCTGAATGTTTACCTTGCCCGAGTCTTAGCTTGTTGTGTAATTTAATTTGGATCTGACATGAGTTCTTTGAAAATAAACTGGTTTCTTAATAGGGATGTGGGAAAGTCTGATTTTTTTTAAAAGTAACCTTTTCCCTGAAGGTATATTCAGTTTTAAATGCATACTGTTAATTTTGAACAAATGCCCCTTTATGTTATTAGAGTAAAAAGAGAGATGCTGCTGCAGCATTAAAAATCTTCCCAGATTGATTTTTGCAATGATTTCCCATCACAATTCAAGCACTCAAACCAACATGCAATAGCTGCTAGCGTATGTGCTTGTTTGATTTGGACTTAATCTATGTGACATGCAATTGTGACCCATTCAACAAATCACAAATTAGGTAAAATGCTGGCATACTATATTTTAATAACGTATCAATTTGACCTTATGTCTGTTGCAGGAGGAACACTGAAGTCACCAAGCACTTGGCTTGGTATTGGAGATTTTTAATATTTACTATCCTTAGAGAAGAATGCAAAGTGGTCTTCTAATAATTAATGGGCATGTCTTCTACAATGTTTTGAAAGAAGACAGCCTAAAGGTCAGCTTGGTCCCCTGCCACCGAAAACATCCCAGTCCTACTTTTGGCTTTCACTTTGTGAGCCAAAACTTATTGCAAGACAAAGAGGGTTTTCCCAACTGATGTCAGTCTGCAGGGTGCTGCCTCCTATACCATCTAGTCTTAAGTACCAGTATAACATATTCTCAAGGGAAGCTGATTCACCCTCAGTAGCCTATATGGGCCAAGTGATGGTGGACTGTCTCATGCCTGCAAAAAAAAAATCACTTAATTCCTGGAGCTCTCAAAGTTCCCCCATAAGCAATAAAGAAAGCAAACACTTCCCCCCCCCCCCACCTGCTGCTTTGTTCCTTCTGTCTCAATTAGATTTAATTTGTTGTTAATTGTGAAGTAGTGTCTGACCCATCACGACCCCATGGACAATGTTCCTCCAGGTCTTCCTGTCCTCTCCCATCTTCTGGAGTCCATTTAAGTCCATGTTAGATTTAATAGGGAGGGGGCAAACCGGAGTTAGAGACCATCCATCAGGTTGCAAATAAGGTCAGTCCAGTAAGGTATTTCTCAAATTTGAAAACATTCAGACCTGTGGATTTCAATTTGCAGAATTCCCCAGTTAGCATTCTTTGGCTTGCAACATGTGTTTTATAACATTTGTATAGTGGTGGGTCTCCTACTTGGGTGAGGGGTTGGATAGAGATGACCTACAAGATCCCTTCCTATTCTATTCTATTCTGTTCTGTTCTCTATTCTATATTCTATTCTGTTCTATTCTATTCTATTCTAATTCTATACTTCATCTATTCTATTCTACTCTAACTCTTAACTTTAACTTAATCTATTCTATTCTATTCTACTCTAACTCTTTATTCTATTCTATTCTATTCCCCGTTATTTCTATTTCTATTTTTCTTTCAAGTTGACCCGCAAACGAGCAGTCTAATTTTCGTTAGTCTATGTGTTTGTTATTTCCCCCACCCCTTACTGGCCGTTGAAAGGTATTCTCAATGATCCTTCGAGCTCCGCCCCTGCGGCGCGCTGCTTGCCGGGATTGGAGACGGAAGTGGGCGGAGAGTCCGCTTCCGGTCCCAGCGGGGTGGCGGGATAGCGCAGGAGCGCGCGTGAGTCCGAAGCAGCGCGTGGCGCAGGCAAAATGGCGGACGGGACAGGTGGGTGCTAGGCGCGCGTCCCGGGTCGGGTTTGCACCCTCGGAGTCGGGGGCTGCGAGGAGGGCAGAGGCGCGTGGGTGAAAAGATATCGGGGCTCACACGCTGCTGACGACGGGGCGTCCCTTTTCTCCTAGCTCCGACGACTCTGTTTCCGAAAGGCCCGTGCATTTCCCCGTGCTTCTCGGGTGCACGGGGAAATGCACTCTGTGCATGCACAGGAGTCCTGAAGGGCAGGGGCTGCGGAGGAGGGTGCAATGCTGGGATACCGGGGCTCCGGAGCGGGAGTAGGACGGGTTGCAGATGGTTGCAGAAACTTCGCAACTGGGCTTTGGAGAATTGGGGGCCTCAAGGGGGGGGAGTCTCCTGTTCTTCGGGGTGGGAGCCCGAATTTCCCCTTGCAGGGCCCCGGGGCTGCCCTGGCATCAACGTTTCCAAAGGGAACTTAATGCTGGGACGTATCATCATCAATTTATTTTATTCTGTTTTAATAGAATATTATTCTATTATTTTAATCTATTTCCAATTGTTTTATTCTATGTATGTATGTATCATGTCTGTCCATCCTCTTTCTAATCTCTGTCTCTATCTATCTATCTATCTATCTATCTCACGGCAGCAAACATTTCTAATGCTCTGGCCTCCTGTTTTTCTCAACAACAGCCCTGTCAGGTGGGCTGGGCTGAAAAAGAGCGACTGGCCTAAAGTCACCCACCCTAATTCATGTATTACAGTGTTTGGATGAATGCTTTGCGATGCTTCCCTGCTGTTAGTACTCTTTTTACCCTGCTTTTGAACACGTTGCACGGTTGTGTCTAATGTGAGTTGACTGCTGTGTATTGTAATCTTGATGGTGTTGTCCCAAAGAGTTAGAGGTTGGTAGAGTGGGGGGAGGGAGACACGTGTTTGGTCCTGGTAGGCCATTTTGTTAGATAAGGTGGTGTGGTGGGCAGCCTTCTCTACAGTGCAGTCCACCAAATTGTGTTGATGCTGAACATTTGACTGCGAATATATTTATCCTGCCCTTATGTATTTATGTAAAGAGTGTGAAGTATATGTTTTCAAAGTTTTCCATTCTCTTTGAACCCTAAATAGCTGGTTACGAGAACAGTTGGAAGTTCTTGTTAAAATAGAAAGGTGTGTTGGATATGTTTGCCGCCTTGAGATATTTATAAAAATAAAGTTGGGACACAAAAAGTATCAATATTTCTCCTTTTTGTGCCATCCTCATTCATCCAGCTTTTGTCTGCTCTATTAAAATATGTGTAAACACCATCAGCATTAATCAAACTACTAAAACTTAGTTTTGGTAGACTAATCAACAGCATTGCCAGATCTGTTTCTGTCTTTAAGTTGTCAACAGATGCTATTTTTTTTTTTGCTTATATCACTGTAGATTCAGTTTCTAAGAAACACAAGAAGAAAAAGAAGTCTTTGCCAGATGAAGATGTTGCAGTGAGTTGGCCAATGATTATAGTTTTGTCAATTTATGCAGCAAGCTGTTTTAATCCTCAATTATACCATGAGTGTTCCCAACTACAACCATTGTAACTTCAAACTGTCATTAAACAAATGGTTATAAGTCAAGGACTTGTACTAAGTTCTATTCTGCTAAGTTCTATTCTGACTTTTATTTTTAAAAGCACTCTCTGAGAAATTTGATGATCTGAGTGTTAGTTAATGGTTTTTTCATTTCTAGTTTAAGCGAAAGGAAAGCCTTCCTAGAATCAAAGCCAACTCCTGACTTCATTGATAAGTCTTTGTGGTTTTCTTGGCAACTGTTTAGAAATGGCTTGCTGTAACCTTTTTCTGGGATGGTTTTTGATTTCCTGGTTTAGCCTGCAGTCATGGAATTCCTGGTTCACGTCCAGCTTTTGGTTCCTGCATAGCTCTTTAGCCCCACAAGATGGTGCTACCATCTTGGGAGGTTAGAATGTGCTACAGCTTCCACATTTCCTTATTGAAAGCTGTTCTCTAGTCATTAATGAATAATATGGTACTAGCACGTGGTATTTCATCTCTTTTGGAGAGAGGCAGTTTACCTTAAAGCCAATCTTAGCTTCAAGAGAAGTTTCCACATTCTTGTTCACAATCCCAGTTATTCATATATATTTCAATTGTTTTTAGGATATACAACACACAGAAGAATTCCTTATCAAGCCCGAATCAAGAGTGCCACAGCTGGATACATCACAATGGCCTTTGCTTCTCAAAGTAAGATAGTTTTACCAGTGAAATAGGTCGACTTAATGCCAGTATTTTTATGCAGATACAAGATACTTTACAATTAAAAAAAAACAATCTCTTCTACTAAAGAGAGTAAATTTCAGGTATTGCGGTCTTTATGGAGCTGACGGTGCATATTATTTTGGAAGAAAGTTTATGTAAAGGGGAGACAGCTTTAAGGCACTTTGCTGAGGCTTTTCACCAAGTGAGATCAGATGTATAACATCTATTAAACAATTTTGGGTATAAACTATAAACTGAATATAATTTTGCTTTGCTTTGGGGTTTTGTAGAATTTTGACAAGCTAAATGTGAGGACTGCACACTACACTCCTCTTCCTTCTGGCTGTAACCCCTTAAAAAGAGAAATTTCTGATTATGTAAGGTAAGATGTTACACAATGTAAGTCGTCACCAACAAAGTTGCTTCTACAACTTTTGCTATGGAATTTCAGAATCATGAAGGGGTGTTATGGTCTCTTCTTGAGTTTTCAGTGCACTGATTTACAAGCATGACTCTCTCTTTTAACAATTATCCAGCACCGGCATTTTTTTTTATAACACTTGACAGTTTAGCTGAGGGTACCCCATCCATTGTTGTGGCACATAATATGTAGTAAATCAACTAGAGAATGTTTACTAGTTGCCAAATCGAAAACAAGAGGGAATCTAGTTTAGTATTTTAAAGATAAATGTTCATTGTAAGCACCCCGTAATGTGCTTAAGATCTCTCTTGGGCAGGTGGGGACGCCTTCAAATCAATCTTGGCTCTTGGCAGTTGCCTAGATGAGTCCCTGCAGTTTTCTTGGCAAGATTCTAGAAATGGTTTGCCATTGTCTCCTTCCTAGGGCTTGAGAGACTGGGCTGGCCCATGGTCACCCATCTGGCTTCTTGTTTAAGATCTCCCAGTTGCTAGCCTTTAAACATGTTAAGCTGATTTTTTTTTAACCTGTCAAGCTTCTCAGTTATTTCTGTCAATCTGATCACTGATTTTTATCCTAGGACGGGCTTCATCAATCTGGATAAGCCTTCCAACCCATCTTCCCATGAGGTTGTGGCCTGGATCCGCCGCATTCTCCGTGTTGAGAAGACAGGGCATAGCGGCACGTTGGACCCCAAAGTTACCGGGTGCCTGATTGTGTG